AGCATAAATTATATAAGTTTGATCCAAGTCCTTTTGGTAGCTTCAAAAAAGTCTTGAAATTAATTGCACTTGTAATAAAAAGTTAAGGAACTACACATGTAAAAATGCCAATTACCCTTCTTATTTATTATATTCTGTAATTTTATACTAACAAACTTAAAACTGATTCGATTAATAAACAAACAAGTGGCTAATTTTAATCTTTTTAGGGAACTAGTATTTGTTTAATTTTTCAGAAATGACAATCAAATTAGCCCATATGGATGTGGCTACCGAAAACTAGACTATAACTCAATTATCAAGTCATGCTGTGAAATAATGGCTCAAACGACTAACTCTGTTGTAACTATTTCAATTAATCACGGGGAAGAATTGGAGAAATTAATGGTTTGAATTTCAAAATGTGGCAACAGAAATTGTTATACCATCTTGAATCTTGTAAGGTTTTTGAATAAGGATGCTTCAAAAATTAAATCTTCTAAGAAGCTATGAATTTTTCAGAAATACCTCAGTGGAAAGAAGATATTAAAAGTGAAATAGATTCTCTATGCTACAAACTAATAGGTTACAATGGATTTTTGAGATGAAAATAAAAGCAGATGAAACTATCAATAAATATAAGGGTAGACCAGTGAAAAATGTTATAGACTATAAGAATCCCTTAAATACTTTGATACATATTCTTCGGTAACGAAAATAACATCTATTAGGAGAATGATTGCTATTTAAACTTTGCAAAATCATGAATTACATTAAATGAATGTTAAAACTGTCTTTTTGAATGGAGATTTAGAGGAAGAAATTTGAACAACCTTAGAATTTTTCCTCAATGGGACAAGAAAAAATCTGTAAATTATTGAAATCATTATATGGCTTGAAACAAGTTCCAAAATATAGACATGAAAAATTTGACAAAGTCATGATTGAATGTGAATTTAACATCAATGAGTGCGACAAATACTTCTACATCAAAGTTACCTTAAATGGCTATGCTATTTTATATTTTTACTTTGACGGCATGCTTATCGTTGGTAGCAACAATAAGATAATTAAATCTACTAAACATTCGTAGAATTCAAGATTTGATACAAAAATATGGGTTTAGTTGATATAATACTTGGAGTTAAAATTTCAAGAATGTCTGTTAAACTCGTTCTAAGCCAGTTATGATATGTGAAAAATATTCTTGAAAATTTTAACAAGGATGATTCTAACATGGCTAGGACACCAATAAATACAAGTCAGCCTCTATCTGAAAATGAAGATAAGAGAGCCTCAAATAGAGTACTTTAAAATTATAGGAAGTCTGATATACTTGATGTGTTGTACAAGACAAAACCTAACTTACACAGCTAGTAAACTGAGTAAATACATGAGCAATCCAAGAGCTAACCATTGGACAAGAATAGTAAGTGTACTAAAGTGCTTATTATACTCATAGCTATAGACTACACTCTACCAGATATCAAGCAGCTATTGAAGAATATAATAATTCTAAATGGATATTTGATACAAATATCTCAAAGTTTACAAGTAGATTTGCGTTCTCATTGAGAGGTGGAGCTATATCATAAAAATCGTCTAAATAAACAGTTATAGTCATATTTATCGTGGTATTAGAGTTTATAGTCTTTGATAAATGTGATGAAAAAGTTGAGTAGCTATGCAACTTCTTAGAAGATATTCTTAGATTCTTAAAGCTTGTGCCAGTAATATGTATATATTTTGATAGTCAATCTATGATGGAAGGGTGTAGAGAAACATATATAATGGTAATCTATACATATACGTCATATACATAATACCACAAGGCAATTACTCTCAACTGAAGTCATTCGTGTTGACTATGTGAGGTCAAAGAATAACATTATGGACCACTAACCAAATGTTTAAATAGAGAGTTAGTTAAAAAATTATCGTAATGAATGAGACTTAAGCACTTGAACGAATGAGTTAATACAGTGAAAGTCAACTTAGTTGACTGAAGATCCCAAGATCTACATTTAAAGGGACATCCTAATTGTAAAGGTTTAATCGAATCGTTGTGGGGGATAACATTTCACTATCAACCTCTATTAGGTAATAGTGATGCCGATAAAGATGAAGGATAAATAATACCCTTTTAATGATTATTACGCATTGAAAATCAAATAGAGTAATGCCGTTATTTTTAATTAACAAATCACCTATGTAGAAGTGAGTCTGCTTCTATGTTCATAGCCACACATGAATATAAAAATGAGAATAGAATTGTGTTGAAAAATTCATGTGTGGATTATATCATTATTTACATAAAAAGCATAGCAATTCAAAGATATTGTATCTATTGGTCATCTAGTAAAAGTAAATATAATTTCATAAGGAAATGATCAAATGGTAATGCCTATCTATGCTATGCAGGTTTCAACCATTGAACTTTATCACCAAATCTTTTGTTTCATGTTTCTGTATCTCTCTCAATTTTCATTCATTTGGAGGATTGTTCAAAAAAGGCTTAATAGATGGATTGTTTTGGCATAATTTTTAATCGGACTCAATTCTTCATCTTGGAAAATGAAAGTAGATTCGTGTTTTTCTTCGTAAGAACATCAAAATCATATATTTACTTGCCAAAATTGATGCTCAAGTAAATGGGAAATTGGATTTCAAAATCCAATTGGAAGATGTTTATATGTTGGAAGAGAAATTATTTTGGTTTGTTCCATACAGGAAAATTAACACGGCAAAATACTAGTTTATATATGGCCACACTTTTGAAATGTGTAATGTGAAGTATAGAAACTCTCTCTATGTGCATGTGCACTGAGCTGCAAACCTCGGACGGAATTAGCCTTTAGGTCTTGAACTTGTTTGCAAGCACGACTTGTATACACAAAATGTCGAATCAAAATTGATCCCTTAGAAGGGTCTATGTTTTGCCTTTATTTTTCTTATTTGTTTAATGTTTTTCCAACTACTTTTCCAAATGTTTTAACTCGTGAACCTGAAACTCCCTAAAACTCATGGGGTTAATAGGCTGTAATGGCTTGTTAATATTTGAAATTAACCCTCAATTCATGAAGTGTATAATAGGAATAGTTTTCCTCAATTTCCACACAATAAAGAAAAGAAAACGCCTCACTTCTTTTTGTTCGAGATTTTCTATTTTCTGTCCAACTCTCAATTAAATCTTATGATAGTTTGGATCAAGTTTAGTTCGCTAGTGTTAGTTTCTACACATTTTTACGTTAAATCTTAAGAGACAGACATTCAATGAAATCTAAAGCACTTACAGTGTGGGAGCAAATTTGATTTAAGGATAATTTGTTTATACAACCTCAATTTGCTAATTTCTTGCTTCTCGTGATTCTAAATCTTTTTCTTCTTAGCTGTTAATTTCCTATTTTGTTCTTTTCAGTATATACGTAATATTATATCCTAAGAATAAATTCGTATCCAAAACAAGAGTTAACCATTTATTGTATTATTGTCTCCATATGGGGCAAGTTTTATGTTCATGTTTATAGTATTATATTTTAGTTTTCTCATTAATAAAATTTGCCAAGTGGAGTAGTCATTTAAAAACAAAATATAAGGTGGCGAGGATTTTAAAAATTTTGTCTGGCTGCAATTGATTCGTCCAGTGAAATTAAAGCATATTTTCTTCTCCAATCAAATTAAATAAAATTATCCAAACTATGTATCTGTGTTCATTATTAAATATTAACTATTTGTAAATAAATGAACTGCTTATTCATATGTATAGAACTGTATAGTTTTCTAAATAATCTAATTAGATTATAAATATTTATTTGAAACTAGTATAAAAAATTAAATTATAAATGTAAAAACAACCTTTAACATCAGTAAATAGTAATATATTGTCATGGTGATTGGTGCACATGGTTCAAGAAGCAGTATATATAACTCAGAGTAGTGTTCCTGTGCATTATGATGACTGTCATCTTGTGTCGTTACAATAATGCCGAAAAATTCTCTGCTGGAAGATGAAGAACGACAGAGTGACTGAAAAATATATAAAGTCCTTGTTCGGTACGATTAAAATTTAAATTTTAATTTATATCAAAGTTAATAATTAATTTTAATCACATATATTATGAGATCACAAATTTTTCAATCACACATTTTATTATTATTATTATTATTATTATTTTTTATCAGAATTAAGGGTGTATTTGAGCCACATTATTTTGGAAGAATGTATTTTGAAATAGTAGATTAATGGAGAATGTGTGGTTGAAAAATAAGGAAAAATTATTGATGTGATGGAAAATATTATTTTGTCGAAGAATGTTTAGTTAAAAATGAGTAGAAGAATGAGAATGAAATTTTTAATGTGCCTCAAACAGGGACTAACTATAAAAATTATGGGCTCTTATTCTTGCTCAACTTGTTTTGCGAATGATTTATTTTTTACAAAAATGCTAGACATTTGATGTGTTGTTTAAAAAAAGATTGGAGGGAAAATTATTTAATTTTTTAAACTGTCCAATAAGTGTAACGAATAATGTAAATGATGAATGATTGTTGTTTTTTAATTATGTTTTGTACTTGTTTTATTTGCCATCATTTTGCAGGGTACTATTAATAGTATTTTTGTTCCCCATCATCTTTTTCGAATATTTGACCCCATGATTTAACCATTTTTATCTTGATTATTGTCTTATTCTTTGAAGAGAAGAATTTGCTTTATATCCCAGAAGAGTTGGGGTGTGGTGATCAAGCTGTACTCGCGTGTGTGTCGTTTTGCCTAATATTCAAACGCAAATTTTATCGCTTTTTCTTTCTGCAGAAAGAGAAAAGGCCAACAAGCAGACTTTGTTTGGATCCCTTTACATCATTCGTATTTTCATTATTTTTCTTTACGAATCCAACGACTATAATTCTCGGCATTTTGACGAAATTAAGAAGAAAAATTCATTACAAAAAATGAATAGATACAGTAATTCTCCAAATGGTAAAGCTAAAAAACATCATAACCCGTTGTGGAGGTCTCGTCGCTAACCAACTTTAACACTGTTGTGATCGTTCGTATCCACAAATCCATTTCGAGGAGCCCAAACCCGTACTGATGTGAGTGCCTTGTCGAAATGCTTAGCTTTAGTTCCAAGATACTCACTCCAAGTTATTGGCCGAAAGAGTGGAGGGTGAAAATGATCTACTAATTTTGGAAGTGGGGAGATTTTGACATTTGAGGGTGGCCCATAGAGGTAGGCTAGTGACAAACGATGTTGGGTCCGGTTCACCACGGCTCGGTGGCGAACATTTGTAAACAAACCATTGGATAATATATGTAGAAGGTCTCCTACATGAATCACTAAAGCGCCGGGATGAGGAGGCACGGTGACCCACCCGTAGCCCTCCCGGAGCACTTGTAGACCGCTTATGTTGCTCTGGTGAAGAATGGTGAGTATTGTGGAATCAGTATGTGGTGCAAGACCCATGGCTCGGTCGGGGTCGGGACAGGCTGGATAAGAGTTTAGTTGTAGAGCAGCACATCCCTCTTCGGATTCTCCTTTGTTATTAGCCCATTTTACATCTTCTTTGGTTATGCCCAATGATCCAAGCATGAGGCACATCAGTTTTTCAGCTAGCTTTTTCATCTGGTTTTGATAAGCTTCAATTGTGTCACTGAAAAGAAAATTCGATACAAAAGTAATAAAAATATTGTTGAACATATAAATAGGCCTAAAACTGAAATTCTTTTAATAAATTTGTGTGGATGTAGATTTTGTTTTGTGTAAGTACCAGAAGTTTTGGAAGTCATAGGGCCAAAGTTGACGGGCATTCTCTAATGGTGAACCAATAACAGTGAAACCTTCGGACCACAGGAGCTTGGGAAAGAAGGAAGAAATACGGGCCACGCCGTAGCCCGCTACACCATCCGGTGAACGCGCGGCTTTAAGTTTTTGCTGCATGGGGAGAGAAAAAAGCCTCTTACCTTCCAGCTCAACATCTTCAAGCAAGCTCTTACAAATATTGTGGTTAACCAATTGGAAAACTCCCCATTTTTTGCATGCATGACCTATATGGTCCATGGCGTTCTTGTTATTTAGATCGATAATAGGGACGGATTCGACATTAGGCCCCTTGGCAGAGGGATGTTCGTCGCTAGGCGAAGTCCATGCATGGGATTCAGGTAATTCATTTATGGAATTTAAATCCAAGTACTTGTGAGGGTGATTGAGGGGGTAGGCTCTCAAGGCTTGAGAGATTAGTCTTGAAGGCATAGTTTTTGGATGTGTTTGGAAGTTAGAGAGAGAGAGAAAGCAATTATTTGAACTTTTTGTTTTTTTGGTCCTCGTTCTAGTTATAGGGCTAGGAAAGTAGAAGAAAAGAAAATATGCTGTGAAGAAATATGGTGGTGTCTAATGAGTTTATATAGAAATGGAGGAGATTGTGACTACTCACTAGCTAGGTGGACTTTGCATTTGCTGAGTGCCTGTTTGTGGGGTGGGGGTAGGTCTAGGGCTAGGGGTTGTTGGGTGTGTGGAATATTATCTTAGGGTTACAAGATGGGGACAAGAAATGAACCAAGAGGTGTGTGAATTTGACAAAATACAAATTTTGAAAGCACTATTTTGCCCTCTTTATTACAAGAAACAAAGACATGAATATTATCTTTTGGTTAAAAGATGGGAGACAAGAAATGTGTGAATTTGAAAAAATACAAATTTTGAAAGGACTATTTTGCCCTCTTTATTACAAGAAAAGAAAACCATGACAACCTCACGAACCCAATTTGGGGGTATAGCAAGCAATAAGAAGGGTCTATCCTTCCCCATGTGCCAATGTCTTGTCCTCAAGTATAAAGACATCTGCATATTATCACCTCCTCTCTATTTGGTCTTAATCCCATCGCTTCTTAACTAGAAGACAAAAAAACTCTACCCTCTTCCCATCTTTGGTGAAAAAGACAAGTCTATCCCTCCCTCTCGAATCAATGCAACCTATCTAGAATCCATGGTAACTTTCATTTGGATCACTAAATTGGATTACTAAACTTTAATTTGTCTTAATTATTCAAATTCATTTTTATTTCAATTGGATCACTAAATTTTATTATTATTTTCTGGTTTTATCATGTCACATGTCGTCTCACAAATTGATGGTTGCTTTTTTGGTAGCCATATACCATTTTCCAATTTATAGGAAACCCTTAATGATTACATAGAAGATCATTTAGAGTACTGCTGCAAATTAAACAATTTCTATCTAGAATGAGAGGCGATAAAATGTGATAGAGTGGTAAAATTTAAATCAAAATTGAAGTTTAATGACCCAATTAAAAGAAATGAAAATTTAGTGACCAAATTGAGATTTTGCTAAAAGTTCAGTGGCTACCGGTGAAATTTACCCCTGGGACCCATGATGCATGTCGAGCCGGGAGACTCAAGAGCTTGTCAAGGCTTGTTCAGTCATCCAATAAAACCATCAAAATGAAATCACATAGATTTTGATAAAAATTAATGAAATGTATGATTGAAAAATTGTGGGTCACGTGAAATATGTGATTAAAATTAATTGTTAACTTAACTTAAATTAAAATTTTAATTTTAATCCTTAGCAAACTAGAGAATAATATTCTTTTAGTTTGTATTGCAAGCGTTCATTTTCTTCATGTAAAATGATTTCTTCTATTAAAATACATATTGTTTTTACGAATACAATATTTTTAAAAATGTAGAGGGGGCATTTTTGTCTTTTAGAAACTTTATTAAGTGAGTTTTGATCCTATTAACCCTTGTGGGCTCCCATAATCATGCATATTTAATCAACCATATTAAAGTTACCTTCTTGATTAAAATCCTATAATGAGTCATCTTTGATTAGGAAATAGGATTCCCACACCGTTCCTAAAAATCTAAGAGGACAAGAATTTTATAGAATTGTCGCCATTTCTTTTTGTTATTATCACTTTTATGTGGTTGAGGTGATTACACTACAAAAGGGGAAACAAACTAATCCATGTTTTATTTGGCAAGCTAAGACAACTATACATGGGACATATGCCACCAAAGACGCATACGGCCATACCAAGCAAAATTATCATTCTAATTGCACATGCTATTCACGTGGCACGAGTTAAGCTATGTTTCTTGTGTTGGTGGAGTGTTAAGTCTCCATCTGTAAATAACTCCTATTTGAATTTCATTTTTCCTTAAATTCATTTTTAAATATACGTTGTCTCAATAAAATAATTTTGCATATAAATCAAAAACATTTTCATAATTTCTATTCGTACATTCTCCAATAAATAAAATTTTACAAAATTTATTTTCAAAACATGAAGCTCAAATATGTGTTATGTTACATGAAAAAAGTCATTTTATAGATCCTTGTGAATAGAAGTCTCATCCATTCCTATAGTGCTATGTCTAGTACTTTTAAGTTGATAGGTAACCTATATCACTTGACCAACTTGATGATGGAATAGTTATTAAATTTTTGTTAGGAGTTGTTTCTTTATTTTATTATAATTCTTGTTCTTGTACAGATATGACTTTATCTAATTTATTTTATTTTTAAAAAAAAATCTAGGAATATTAAGGTTGTACTGGTTAATCTTTCCATTGATATAGTTTTGGCCACCCATTTTTAAAAGTGAGATTCCATACCCCCAATTTATTTAAATATGTGAATCTAAGTCCTCACATGATAAAAATACTAAATGTGAACGTTAAAATCGTACACGACTTTTTCATTTTCCATCGAAATACTCGGTCTCTTTTTTTGGCTCATAATTTACAAGAGAATACTTTCTCGGAGGAATGGCTCTTATCTATGTTGGAGTATTTTATGTGATCGTGACTTAATCTAAAAATGCCTTAGGTATCGGGTTGAGAACGGTAGAATAATTCTTGTTTTCACCACCCCATGGATTTCTGCATAGGGTTTTAAATGGATCGAATATGAATCAAATCTGTCTATATCCGATCTGATCCGATAATTCAACGGATATTTGATTCTTAAATCAAATCCGATTTGCTATGTTATCGGATATCCGATCCGAATTTAATAAAAATTAGCAAAAAAATTCAATACTCTTTAAAAAAATTTGAACTAATTTGAGATCCACATGTTTTTATTAGCAAGCCCAATAGTGACTTCTACTATCATGTTATTCATTTTTAAAGGAGAAATTCTTTTCTAGTTTTCTATTGACATTCGATGTGGGATAAGGTAAAATTGAATGTCAATTTTAAATATAAATATCTTTTATTTCAATTTATTTTATTTTTAAAAAAAAATATAGGAATATTAAGGTTGTACTGGTTAATCTTTCCATTGATATAGTTTTGGCCACCCATTTTTAAAAGTGAGATTCCATACCCCCAATTTATTTAAATATGTGAATCTAAGTCCTCACATGATAAAAAATACTAAATGTGAACGTTAAAATCGTACACGACTTTCATTTTCCATCGAAATACTCGGTCTCTTTTTTGGCTCATAATTTACAAGAGAATACTTTCCCGGAGGAATGGCTCTTATCTATGTTGGATTATTTTATGTGATCGTGACTTAATCTGAAAATGCCTTAGGTATTGGGTTGAGAACGGTAGAATAATTCTTGTTTTCACCTCCCCATGGATTCCTGCATAGGGCTGTAAATGGATCGGATATGGATTGAATCTGCCAATATCCGATCCGATTCGATAATTCAACGGATATTTAATTATTAAATCCATGTCCTATTTGCTATGTTATCTGATATCCGATCCGAATTTAATAAAAATTAGAAAAAAAATTCAATGTTCTTTAAAAAATTTTGAACTAATTTGAGGTCCACATGTTTTTATTAACAAGCCCAATAGTGACTTCTACTATTATGATATTCATTTTTAAAGGAGAAATTCTCTTCTAGTTTTCTATTGACTTTCGATGTGAGATAAGGTAAAATTGAATGTCAATTTTAAATATAAATATCTTTTATTTCATTATTTCCATTAACAAATCAAATTATTTATTACATATTAATTATTGGTTTTTGAAGTTGTAAAATAAATTAAAATAATAAATTTAATTAAAAATATATAAATATTTATTTACTTTAAATTCATAAACTAAAATTTTAAAAAAAAAATCTATTGTTTTTATAATATTTTACATTTATGGGTATAGTTATTTATTCAATTTGACAACCGATTCGATACCGATTCGACTTTTTGACCCTTGAACCTCTTCATTTTTCAGGTTGATTCCCGGGTCGATTTTTAAAATATTGGTTGAAATCAAAATTATTTTTTTTCAAAATTTTTAATTCTTAAACAAATTTAATAATTATAAAATTTTCAACTTTTTTATGTTTTGAATTAGATTACTTTTTTATTCTAAATTTATTTATTTTAGTGACAAATAATATGCCATAAAAATATTTTACCAACTCAATTATTTATAACAAATCAGATCGAATCGACCTATATCCATATTTGATCTATTTAATTAATGGATTATCGAATTCGGATCTTGATCGGTTATCGAATTGAGACCATAAATCCATCTCTCATTAATTTCGTCGGATTCGAATCAAAACCCAATACATTGACAGTCCTATTCCTGCATACATTTGTTTCAACCAATCATGCCTTCAACGGGAATAATCTTCTTACTTTATGTTTGAAAAAAAATTCTGTAAATTCTATTATGAGTCTTACGAAATGTGTAGATAAAAAGTGAACAAAATTGGATGATCACATGAAGATTGTGGATATAAATGATGTTTCACTAGCTTATAATCTTAAAAAGTTTTGCCAAAGTACTTTTAGTATGGTTGATATAAGTACATATGTCACTGGATGGATATTAGAATATGGAGGTTAACGAGAGTTTCTTTATACCATCGGATAGTTGGATCATTCTTTCAATGCCACGAGGTAATCTTTGACTTGCAAACAATGAAGGAGCCAGACATTCTTCATAGGATAAAAAATTTAAGTTACAAAACAAAAATTCCGAACAACTTTATGTACTTGTTTCACAAATATTTTGCTATTCACTTGAAAATGGAGATTTTTATTTTTAAATTTTTTTACATAATTATTTGACATGAAATTCAGCAAATAAATGAATATTAATCTATTTCAAATAATAATTTCAACCATAATAATACAATCAATTTCAATAGGCTATATTTAATTAATTCACAATAGAAAACAACCAATTTCATAAAACAAAAATCCAACAATGAATTTCAATATTTTGTTAAATCTAAGATCACCAAGTTATG